ACCAGTGGACCCGGAAAGCAGGCCACACCTACAGAAGAGGTTCTTTTTTGAAACCCACCACTGGTCCTTGGATATGATTATTCTACACTATCATGCTCATATTTATAAAACTCAGTGCCTCTGTGAAAGGTAAGGATGACTACTGCGTTTGTGGTGCAATCAGAACATTGCGTGTGTTGAAGTTGTTTTGACACAAACCAAAGATGCCTTTTAAAAAACAAATTTACATCCTATTCTTATGCATGCCAGTGCTGTGGGTGAGGTCATTTAAGGTGGTTCTGACAAGTGTCGTCGGCATCTTCATATCCGGTCACATGGGTGGCAAGCCACTCCCATCTGGTCACATGGGCATCAAGCCACTCCCACAAAGGAGGCCACACCCACAGAGTAGGTTCGAATAATTTTGAAACCCACCATTGATATAAAGCAATTGGGAATAAAGTTGAATTCCAGTGAAAATCAGGGCCAGTTCTCACAGTGGAATCAACACTGAAAATCCAATAACGATCCCTTGATTTGGCTACTGGATCATTACTTCAAGTGAGTGTCTTTCAAACTGTATTCTGCTCACTGGGGATGGCCAAAGGTTAACCATAATGCCTCTTGAAAGAACCAAGCCTATTTCTAACTAGGTTATACTATATCTCTCCCCCCATGTCTCCATGCTAATGGACGGAAACTTCAACACTACAACCCGTATTTGATCCTTCATCTAATTAAATATAACTCAAGCCAACGCACAAACAGACCTCATCCCAAATATTGAGAGATTACTATTGAGATCAAGTTGATAATTTAATCTCCAGTGTGGGTCTGCCAAAAAGGCAAATGAAATGCTTAAGGGATTGAACTAAACTTCCTCTTTCTTTTAAAAATATATATAATTATTATTAAAGTTTGTTAGCCTTCCCACCTCCTTCCCTAGGAGGGAAGGCTAACATCCTTAGGACTATTTAATAATCCCACTTTTTTTTTTTTAAAAAAAGAAAGATGAAGAGGGTGGAGGAAGAAACTCACGCAAAGAATATGAAAAAATATGCAGAAGAATCTGGCAATTGAATGGGGGGGCGGGGAATATGAGGAAATTGGATGATAAACTTCGTCATGTTAAGTAGAAAATGAAACTATGGATTTTTCAGGTTTTGTATGAAATTTGGAGCCTATATTTCAATACACCTCTATGGAGGGTAGCAAGGAGCTTGCAAAGTTCTCAAACTGGACTGGCTAGTGTTCCTTCAGTGACTGGTAGCCATGCCAGTCCCTCAAATATTGGAGGCTGAGAAGAAAAAAAACGGAGGAGAGAACCACGATTCTCACATTTTGCGTGGGATTTTTCAGAAACATCTGGATGACAGCAGTGGGAGCACTGCGCTAAAGCGATGGTCCATCTTCTCCCACGCATCTCCTCTAACATTCTCAGCCACCCCTTCGGTGGAGGGTGGTGCTGGCCCTTAGGGAGATGGTATCGAAATTGGGTCTGCTTCAGGGAACCAGTTGGTGGGAAGAAAATCAACTCACCTGCATTGTGCCACGAGTGTGTCAAAGCCAACAGAAGGCCAATAAGAAGACCGGGGATTTTTTCAATTGTCCCCATGGTCTTGAGATGGGGGGGGAAAGCTGGACTTCTTCCTGAAAGTGGAAAGAAAAAGATTTTCAGGTGACCATCCTGGTTATTACATAAAGTAAGGGACATGAAGTCATTGGCTGCCTAACTCTGGACCTTCTCACCATCCCAGAGGAGACCACCATTTTCTAATGAAATGATCTGAAAATATGTTTTTCCATCTGCTGGATCTGCGTCATGATACATGCTGGTGGATGTAAAAACACAGTCCCAACCCATTGCCAATTGGCTCCCAATTCTTGCAAATCAAGAGCTACGCCCGAAGGAGAAAAATGGCCGAGGAAGGGACGGTCGGGTTTCTCCATGGACTTTTGATACTTCATCCAAGGACATTTTGCTCACTTTCCTCCATGAATGTTCAGATATGGTTTATCTTGCAAGTCCTAGCTTTCAAAGCTGGTCTTCCATTCTACAATCTTTAGGAATTATTATCTGATAACCCTCCATTATCCAGGTACATATTTATCCCAATTAGAGGGATTAGAGGGAGTCCCTTTGTGGAGTACTGTGAAGCTGTTACCATGGCAACTCCACTGTGCTGCACAGTAGAAGCCATTTTAAGGCACAACAGGCTGTATTTTAACAGAACACACACCCTGAGGGGTTTTAGGTGTGTCTTACCCACACAGTATTTGTCTCCAGAGAGAAAGTCATCTGTGTACCAAGTTTGGTTGAAAGGCATTCCAGAGTTATGCTGGAACATACATACTGTCAGCCTCTGCTTTGTTGCTGCTTCGGCTGCCATTGCAATGGGGAGGGGGGGCATGGTATTTGGGAGGGGAATCATTATGTGCTGGAGGAAGATTCTAGACGCTGGCCTGACCATCTCATTGCGCATGTGGAGGAAGGGAGTTTCCCGCCAAGGTTAACNAAAACCATAGTCTTGACTATAAGCACCTTTTTTGGTAATGTGATGTCTCTGCTTTTTAGTACGCTGTCTAGATTTGCCATTGCTTTCCTCCTCTAGCTTTATCTATTCTAGTACTTTCTATATTGATGAAGGCTGTCTAGGACTTTTGGCAGGTGACCTACACAGACCTACCTGGAGATGCCAAAGACCAAAACATGGGACTCTTGCATGCAACCCAAGGGCTCTACTTGGGTTACACTTTGAGTTATATTTTTTTGTCCACACAACATGACTATTTCACCATGAAGCCACATCCTCAAGACATTTTCTTACAATCTCCATCTCTTGAGTGCCTCCAACTAGAAATGAATGTTTAGTTGCTCTGAAGCGCCTTACCTGTCGACTCCAGTAGTTGTTGCATAGGCGGAGGGCTGGAGAGGGCTCTCCATTTACATCAGTCACATTTTGGAAGAAACAAACTGAATTCCTAAAAAGATTATTTTAAAAAAAAACCAAGATGAGTAGATTCTCTCTGTGGGTTCAGTATAATCCCTACCCCCATTGGCAAAAGACAGGAAAAAAAAGAAAAGAGAGATAATTGAGCAGATGTTGCATGGAAATAGATCATTCTGGCAATGCTCCCTCTGCAAAGGCAGCCTATTGACATGCCACCCAATCCTTGGATTTTTCAAGTTGCAGCTGGATATTTGTTGACAGGGTTGAGTTCTTAGCTTACATTGGTTCATCTTGTTCGGTTGAATAATCCACAGTTTCCTGGTTTGACACAGCATGAGTTAAAAGGGTTGGATTCACACAATACCTTAAGTGACAACTAAAGAAGCCACCTTGGATACCGCATTGTGTGAACCCAGCCATATTATTTGTTGGAGAAAAAATATTAGCTAACTTGGAGCTTTTGTGGTGCTGGCTCTCTCTGCTCTGCAGCCATCAGATCTATCTTGAGCTGCCATGCTAGATACATTCAATTTGTCTGCCTGCCTGCCTGCCTGCCTGCCTGCCTGCCTTCCTTCCTTCCTTCCTTCCTTCCTTCCTTCCTTCCTGCCTGCCTGGCTGCCTGCCTGCCTTCCTTCCTTCCTTCCTTCCTTCCTTCCTTCCTTCCTGCCTGCCTGGCTGCCTGC